CCCCAGCCAACCCAAGACCCCGCCACCCTGCAGCGCCAACCTAGGGCTTTGGCCCCGGCCCTGCTGCGCGCGATGGTCCCGCAGGGCCAGCCTTGAGTCCCGCGCGGAATTCGGGGCTCTGCCTCCTGTCCTCGCCCCCGCCCGAGAGTCTCCACTAACTTCTGCCCGGGAACTCCACTCTGCCCCTTGTCTTGGCCCAGGGCGACCTGGGCATCTCTGACAGCGCAAACCCTGCCGAGTGCCCAGAAAGGCCCCGGGGTGGCTGGCGCCTCCCAGGCTCTTTCTGGATGGAGGCGCCTCCGGAAGGAGCCGGCTGAATGCTGTGGCCTTCACCTTGCAGCCTCTGCTGACCACACCTCCCCTAGTGCAGAGGCTGCAGCCAGCAGGAAATGCTGTACCAGGTGAGGCCCAGGGGAATTCATGCTGGGTGCCCAGACGCCCTTCTTAGGAGGGTTGGGCTGACTTTGACAGGCCAGAGGGAGCTGGAGGCAATCTGGGTGGGGAAGGGAGGCCTGGATGTGGGGCCACCTCTGCAAGGAGGCCACCTCTGAGGAGCACAGACAGGCAGGCCGCCCTGCCATGGCTTACAGTGCTCTGGACACCTGCCTTTCCAGAGAGCTGGTGAGCTCCCAGAGCAGTCTGTGACACTGGAGTCCCTGGAGACCAACAGGCCCATGTTTGAAGCGGGTCAGGGAACGTGACTTAGATGGTCCAAGACGACCCCTAATGCTTCTTCTGTGGCTCTAGCTCCCAGCCTTTGTGAGTGGCTAATCCCCACAGTTGTGTCTCAATTAGGAGCAGCCTGATCAGGTGAAGATGGAATCCTGTGAATAATAGTCAGAAGAAGCTGGCCTGCCAGCTGTTCTGCACAGCAACAGGGACCAGGAGCTGCAACCACCTCCTATCTGAACAGCTTCTTTCCTTCTTCTCAGCACAGCCGGCTCCTGGGGACCCCGGTGTGACCACCAGGATGGAGGTGGGGCCAACCACAGAGACCTTTGTGTTGGAGCTGCGCTGTCTTGAGGATGGGGGTCCAGGGCCTGCTGCCCTCTCAGGTGAGTGCTGGAGGCAGAGGCCCCTAGCAGGGACCTTCTGACAGAGCCCCAGGTAAGCTGGTACAGAGATGCCCCAGGTATGCAGGTGCAGAGATGCCCAAGTGTGCCGGTACAGAGATGCCCCAGGGCAGCCATCCCCCTGCACTGCTTCACACCTGCTAGCTTCCATGCCTTGAATAACAACTGCAGGTTTGTCCTGGAATTTTCTTGGGCATCTCTATCAGGCTGCTCTTTTGTTATCGAGGGGTATCCTGGAAGTACTGATGGCCTCTGCCCTGACCCCCACTTATATGCTGGCCTGACTCTGCTGCTCAGTTGCCCCAGCAGCCCAGTGACCTCCACTGTCCTGCTGTGTGTGGGGCCACCCTGCACCCTGCTCTGGTTCCCAAAAGGAGTTGAGGAGCAGAAAGCCATTCCTCCTCTGCAGCTTGTGCCTCAGATGCTCGCTCCCTTCCCTGAGGTTTCTCTCCTTGTCCACTTCTCCTGACCTCTACTTCCCTATGTTTTTCTCTACCTGATGCTCAGAGGCAAAAATGTGGCTTCACCAAATCTTCCAAGAGCTCTCCCTCTGGGACCCATCTGGGTGAGCCTTCTATGGTGGCCATACTCATGAGACCCTGTTGGGTGCTTTAAGGAGCTGAGTAGGGCCTGGGACAATGGGGACAAGTACACTAAACAGGGACTCTTCTGACTTATACATTGAACTGACAAAAAATCTTATGAGGTTATACATGTCGGGCAACATGTAACTACATATTTACTAAAGTGTCTCTATTAAAGGTGAAAAAAATACTGCCCTAGGAAGTCACAGTGGCTAAGTAGCTAAGCTAGAAAGGAGGAGAGTCACACAGAGGTGTGATCTGTGGCTTCCAGAGGAGGTGGGAGAAGGGGGTGTCTAAGAGACTTCAGTCCTGCTATAGGGACAGGTTTTCATGGCTGTCTTCATCCATCATCAGAGAACCCCCAATTGGTGTGAGTGTCTAAGGAAAAGGCTGTCATTGACCTATTATACTAAGCAAGGGTTGTTAGAAATATTTTTCTAAAAGGAATTATATATATGCAAATATCCTCTGTTTTTATTAAATGTAAAATATGTAAATATCCTATGTTTTTATTAAATCAGTATATTCCTGGAAAAGTGGCCAGAAAGTAAAATTTATTTATTTATTTAAGTTGTAGATGGATGATAAATAAATAAATAAATAAATAAATAAATAAATAAATTATTTTTATGTGGTACTGAGGATTGAACTCAGGGTCTCACGCATGCAAGGCAAGGGCTCTGCCCCTGAGCTACAACCCCAGCCCTCAGAAAGTAAAATTTTATCAATCAAACCATTGCTTTCCATTTCATGATTGAAAATATGATGCTGTAGGAAGAACACGTGTTGAAATCAGTCTGAGGTGGAGAAAGCTCCTTGACTCACACTTATAAAGAAGAATTAGGATTTTCTGATAGCACAACAGTAATATTCAGAATGAGAAGCTGAATGTGGACATTGTGCTGAAGGCAGAACATAGCCAGTGTGGCTCCTGTATGTGCAAGATTTCCTCTGCGCCTCGCACAACACTGGGGCTCTACATTTATCCCAGTTCTCACTGTGTCTCTGAGGGTATATCTCTTTTTGCAAAAGGAGAAACTGAGGTTCCCAGCAGTTAACTAATTGGCCAGCCTCTGTGTTGACTTGGGGCTCTTAGTTCTTTCCATTCCTTTCTATTTGGTCTTTAGGTGCTTCAAATGGAGCTAGTTGTATCCTGAGTATTTCCGAACTGTTGTTACTCAATAGAGTAATTCCTAACCTGTCGGGAGAGGTAATTTTCAAGCACCTGCTGGGTTCTGGGGAACATGCAGGGCCTTTGAGTCTGTAGGAAGTTGAACAGTTGAATTGGAAGAATTAGGTTCTCAAACGAGGACTTCCCACCTGAAACCTGAAAGTCTCTCTGATACTTTGGTGATTTCTAGAAACTACTTGTGGTAGTCCTTCTAGGCAGCTTTACAGAAATGTTTTATTATTTACAGAGAAGGCAAGTTTCATTTATTTAAGATGTGACTGTCACTGAGGTCAGAGTTGAGCATGAGCTGGGCTGTTGGAATGGCTGCTGGGATTTCCACTGGACAGTGAAGTGCAAGGGACTCCTGAGGGAATGAGGTTGGGAGCCCCAGGCACCCATGCTAATATTGGTGCCAAGATCTAACCATGGAGCTTGTGTGAAGGGAGGCCCAGAGGAGGGATGGGGGGGGTCTAGAGTATAGTGACCAATGGTCACTTGGACATCCCCCACCCCTGGCATTTCAGTTTCTGTCATGCTGCTATTATTAATTGATCTAACATTTTTGGGTCCCTGCTGAGAACTTGTTAGTGTGTCCTTGAGTGACTGTATATGGGCAGGTCCTAGAGGGCTAGACTAGAGAGCTTCCTATAGATCCTTCTCTCCTAGCTTCCTGCCATTTCCACTACAGGTGGCAGCGGTGGGAGTGAGAGTCAGGAGGAGGAAGAGGCTCAGGAGGGGCGCAGTGGCCCACAACAACCATCAGTGTCAGCCCCAATAGGGGCCAGTAACATTGCTGAAGAAGCCCAGCCGGGACAACAAGAGCTGCTACTGCAACAGCTAGAGCAGCAGCCAGAGCTGCAAGAACAGCCCCAGCAGGAGCAGCCTCAACAGCAGCAACCACAGAAGCAACTATTAGAACATCAGCCAGAAATGCAACAGCAGCAGCAACAGCAACAGCAGGATGGGCAACAGCATCTGCCTCAACTACAGCTGGAGCTACAGGAAAACCACCAATCTGTGCAACACCAAGAACTGAAACCACAAGTGCAGGTAATACAACAACAGGGACAGGTACCAGAGCAAGTGCAAGAGCAACAGTTACAGCAGCAGGAACAGTTACAGCAGGAAGTGCAAAAGCAACAACTTTTGCAGCAGCAGCAGGAACAGTTACAGCAACAAGTACAAGAACAGCAGCTGTTACAACAGCAACAGGCACTGTTACAGGAACAGCATGTGCAAGAGCAACTATTGTTACAGCAGCAACAGGCACAGTTACAGCAGCAAGTACAAGAGCAACAGCTCTTACAGCAGCAACAGG